GGCTTCAGAAGACCAAATAGTGGTGAGTATTTGGCCTGAGGCTAATCTGAGTTTGTGCTGAAAGTGTGGTTCCCTGCTTTGGGTGTTACCTTTCCAGCCAAGCTGTGTGGGTTGTTTCAGATGGTTGTTTTCTTTGTTTGGTAGACAAAAGCTGCGTATGTGCTGTTCTATCAGCGCCGAAACAGTGAGGAACGTACTGCCCCATCTCCTGCCCAAGAAGAGTGTGACGGCATGGATACCAACTAAACATCGCCTCCAGCGCTCGGCCACCATGTTAGCGGTCACTCTTCTAAAGCCATGCCTGAGGCATCTGAAAATTTTTCTTCCTTCTGTAGGAGTCAAGCAGAATATCTAGCACTGAAAGACTCAGTGTTGGGGTTGCAAAATAGCACTGGAGAGCCAGGAATAGGTGCTGACACTTGGGTATTTAGAGGCCAAAAATAATATATATTGGAGCTTCAATAAAGTTCTTCTTAAAATCTGGCTGAGCTGTGTGGCTAGAGGCAGGGGTCGGGGCTGAGCTGGGCTGGGGCTGTGGGTCTTGGGCTGAGGGTTGTAGCTGGGGTTGGGAGAGCGCAGCCTGAGCTGGGGGCCAGGTCACAGCTGAGCCTCGCAGGGGCCTGCCAAGGAGCACAGTGGGTGTGATTCTGTGAATCGGCCTGGGGGCTTCCTGCCAGCTCTCTGGTGTTGCCGTTGGGCCCTGCCTGTGTCAGGGAGGCTTGCTGCGCCCTTTCTGGAAGCTTGGTTCAAGTCTTGGTATGTTTGGCCTGTCTGTTGCAGTCTCTGCCATCACACTTTGGTCCCCTTGCTAAGCAGCAAATGTTTCTCTTTCTTGTGTCCTTTGAGGCTCTTCTGGGCGATTTTGACTCAGCCTTTTTCATGTGAACACTGAATCCTGTCATGTAGGAAACCACCGGAAGCGCATCCCGCCTGCCTATGGTATGGTCTATGCGCAGGCTGATCCGCACAGCGATGCAGGATACGGCTGCTCTGGCCCCTGTGCTTCTGCAGAGAAAAAAATCATCTGTAAGGTTAGCCATTTCTTGTTCTCTCTATCCATCTGCTACACCCCTCACTTCCAGGCTGCTCTGTAAGCACTTTTCTGCCTCCACTTTCTCTCCTATGGTTTGTGCAGGGACAGAATTTTTACCCTTTTTTGCGCATTTATTTGACTTCTTGGAGCTTTTTCTCCAGCAAAGCTCAGTGCTCTGTCCCCAGAGCTGTCACCTGTGAGGATGGCAGCCCAATGCAATGGATTGTGTGAGTTTTCAGCCTTTTGGCTTGCATCTTTTGGTGTTTGTTTTTTTTTTTTTTGGACTGCTCTTCCAGCCTTTCTCCTCCTTCTTCCAGTACTGCCCTGTAGATCGCCAGCCCACCACCTTCTGCGAGGCTGCAGGTGTGACAGTCCTGTCTGATGTCTCTCTTGCCTTAGCTGTTCAGATAGTTCTGCTCTGTCCTTTTGGTGCAACTGGCAATGCTCTTCCCTCTGTCCTCCTTTGCTGTCTGTGTTAGTTGTAGGACTCAAGTCCAGCTTTCTGCTTGAACGAGCGCTCCTGTGAGCGCTAGGAACAGGTCAGTCCTCAGTGGAGAACTGGTCTTCCGTGTGAAAAATGGGGAAAAATCTAGAGCCTTCGTCTGTGTTTTTTAGGGAAAGCGCTAGGAACAGGTCAGTCCTCAGTGGAGAACTGGTCTTCCGTGTGAAAAATGGGGAAAAATCTAGAGCCTTCGTCTGTGTTTTTTCGGGAAAGATCTAGCTCAAGGCGATGAACCAAACAGGAGGGTTCTTCCTGCTTGGAGCCAAGAGTGCTGGCAGAGCAAAAGGCCAAGACAGGCTACTGCCCTGCTTTTTTCCCCCCAAAAATGCATGCTTGCAGCCCCTTGCTCCTCTGTGCACAGTCCCTGTGGCTTTGTTGCTGACCAGAACCTTCCCTGATGGTTAGCATAACAGCGGTCATCTGTTTAACTCCAAATACGCCAGCTCAGCTCCCTCTCTGCAGCTCTCAGTGACGAGCCCCGTAGGAAGCTGCTGTGTGCCTGTTCCTGCACCTCTGCTGTGCTGCAGCCGGGCCAAGCCCAGCTGGCTGCTGGTGGGGAGGGAGGGCAGCGCCATGCGGCCCCGCAGCCGGGGCAGTGGCAGGCGCGGAGGAGGAGGGAAGGCTGCCTCTGGCTGCGTGCTGGTGGTGTGATCCTCTTCTGCGGAATTTTGCTTTTAAAGCATTGAAATTTGAGTTTTGAGATCAGGATTGCTTAATTGCTTCTGCTGTTCTGGTTTTGGGGTTGTTTGGGATTTTTACAACTCTTAATATTTTATTTCTGGGTTTTTTTTCCTCATTACTGGGGGGAGCATCCAAAAAGCAATTTTTTAGCTGTAGCACTGCACTGAATTACTCTGATCAGCATTTTGTTGTTTGTTTTACCGTGAAAGAAAATCATGTGGGCATTCCAAAATGGGGAAGAATGGAAAGGGAGGGGAGTAAAAAACCTTCTTAAAAGAAAACTCAATCTGAAATAGCCTTTGTTTTCCTTCTGACCTCCCTACCGATGCTGACAGTGAGAAATGCATCAGTGGGGCTAAATCTCCGATGCTCAGATGCTGAACAGACTCTGTTGTACTGCAGAAAAAGCAGTCCAGCTCTTACTTTCTCTGCCCCTGAGCTGATGGGCTTTGGCTGGTGTGTGTGTGCTGTAATACCAGACCTGTTTTTTAGACTAGCACTTTGTAAGTGGCTGGCTCTGTTGTACAAAGAGGAAAATTAAAGAGTGGTTTGCACTGAAACTGGGTTTTGTTGTATTTTCAGCTTTTGTTATGTGACCTGAGACTGCTGGTTGTGGGGTTGCCTGGTGCTCCAGGAGCTCTCACAGCTGGGGAGGGTGAGTCCTGTGGAGCCAAGCCCTGCTCTGGCAGTGGGGCTTTGGGAGGAAAGCAGCCGTTGCCCGCACCACTCTGTGCATCTGAGAGTCCATGCTCGCTCCAGAGGTGCCTTTCCTCGCCTGCGGCGCTGACTTGCTGATACCTGGTGCTGTAGCAAGGCCCATCCTTGCCTTTCTGTGGCACTGGGCAGGCTCAGCTATGGCTTCCTCATCACTCCTTTTCCTCTGCAGGTCTTGGCGGGGTACTGACCTTCCCTTGGTCCATTTTCCCCAGGGGTATCGGGGCTGCTCGTGGCTGTACCACTGAAATAGTTGCCCTACAGTTGCTGCAATTTCCTCCTCAAGGCAACCTGAACAGGTATAGGAGAGCAGGCTGGAAAAGACCGAGGAAGTTCAATGCAGCAGGCTTGTGTGCGTTTAGCCTCAGCGCCTGTGCCGGGAATCTGGGGGGTTGTCAGTCCTGCAGGTCAAGGGGGCTTGTGACACCCCAGTAAGAAGGTTTGAAGTCTTCATTTACCATGACAGTGTAACAGTGGAGCAGCTTGATCTTAGCTGGTGCCTCAGAGAGGGTTGGAAGAGCCTTAATGTAGAACAGCAGGCGGTCAGCTTCACTATGAAACGCTGACTTCCGCAGTGTGGCGTGGAGCCCACCGCAGGAAGAAGGGAGAGTGAAGTGGCAGCTCTCAGGTGCGGAGGTGTTTGGGTGTTCTGTGTCAGCATGCAGGCTTGCAGGAATGGCTCGTGCAAGAACACTGAGGGCAGGAAGGGAGGTGACACTCCCTGTTGCAAAAGGGAGGGTAAAATAACCCAAAACACTGGCTGTGTTGTCAGTGAAGCACTGTTATGGGCATGCAGGGAGGAGGTCGCTGAGGCAGAGCAGAGCATCTCTGAGCTAAGGCTCCTATTCAGAGGGGAAGTGATTTGGTAAGAATAGAAAGCAGGCTCTGTCTCAGTCCTGGCTCAGCTCCTGCTTTGAAAAGGGTCTGCAATTCACCCCAAAACAAAGGACCCAGAATAAAGAGGGGGGGGGGGAAATACCAGCCCTGGAATATGGAAGGGCTTCT